CATTGGCCCCAAGGATATGACAAAAAAACAGTACATGTTTTAGAAGTCGTCGACTCTTTCTCTAAATTTGTGTGGCTTTACCCCACTAAAAGTACTGACGAAATAGTGGATAGATTAGCAAGGCAGTCTGAAGTTTTCGGTAATCCAAGTCGTACAATCACAGATCGTAGAACGGCATTCCCAGCCAATGTTTTCAAGGAATACTGTAAGGAAAACAATTTCCAGCATTTGTTGGAAGCCACAGAAGTGCCACGTGGCAACGGTCAAGTGGAGCGTATCAACAGGATTGTCATCACTACATTGACAAAACTTTGTGCGGAAGACCCGAAAGCTTGGTAATAACAGATCAGTTGTTCTGTTACATAACATTTTCTTTAGTGTTGAAAAAGCGTAAAAAGTGCGCGAGAAAGAGGAGAGATTGAGCATCAGCAGAGGAAGGTCCCGTGTGATTCAGTAATAGTAATGTGTAAACTTAAATATAAAACTGTATAAAAGAACTGTATTGAACAATGAATAAATGGTGTAGAATTAGTTAATAAATTCACAAAGCCAACGGAAGCCTTTCCCTACATTCATGCTGGTCCAAAAATCATGTTGTCTCTTTTACGAGAAAGGTTGATTTAGTCAAAACCTACAGCACGATAAAAGGCTTTCAATTCTGTTTTATACGCCCCAGGGCACCACACTTAGGCGTCTTCTGGGGGCCGCCGTTAAATCATCGAAAACGTTGGTGGAACTGAGTTAACATGGGCACCAGAGGCGTTGCTGCACAATTCATCGGATTCTCCTGAAAAGGAAATGCGGTATCTGGACAGATGGCAACGGGTGACCTACCTCAAACTACAGTTTTTGTCACTTTGGCATCGGGACTACGTTTACAATCTTTAACAACGCAGCAAGTGGACCAAGGAAGAACAAAATCTGGCTGTCGGACAACTAGTCATCGTCCACGAGGACAATATCCCAGCGCAACATTGGCCGTTAGCTGCACGACACGATGGAAAGGTTCGCGTTGCCGAAATCAAGACAGTCAAAGGAGTTTTAAAGCTGGCTCCTCTTCCGGAATAATTATTTGAAATCTACACATTTCAACGCGGGGAGAATGTTGGAGGAGAACACCTCCGCCAGAGACAAATTACTTAGTAAATCTCCCTGATAATTGTTTATACAACTACCTAAAACCAACTTGTTAAAATCACTATGTTTAAATCACTTTATTTTAACGATGTATCGATTAACTAGAAAGCACGCGCTCTTTTCGTTCTCTCTCTTTGGCACTGTCTTTCCTTTTTGACATTCCAAAGTTTAGGATACTTTTTCACTATGAATTCTGGAAGCGACTATGCAAGACTCAAATAAAGGAGAAGAGTAAAACACAAAAACCAGGCTTATATAACATGGGCAACGGGAACTACATCCGGCCAAACCTTTAGGCAAACGAAGCTCCAAAAGAAGGCAGTTTTAACTGGCCGAGAAAGCGGCCAATACCATGTGTCCTCTTTTCAAGTAATCATCCATGAAATTAACATCCTCTTGTTTTAGTGCAGGGAAATTTCGGAATATCCGTTCTAATGCGTTGTGGCAACGTAGAGCCAAGTAGCATGAGTGGGTTCCTTGAATGGGTACTGGACAATGTATAGACCATCTTCTCGGCGAGCATGCGTTGTCAGAAAATGTTGTTCTGCAGGATCACTGGCGTCAATCGTTGCTTTGCTCGGATGGACCTGCTATATGGCCATCAATAATCAAACTAAGGAATCAAAATCTTCGTAAGCGTGGATGACTCATTACAATCATTATAGCTGCCTGTAATAACCCAACCAAACTTAGTATGTAGTGCGATAAAATAACGTTGATTTTTCCCGGCGCTCCAAACATCGGGTCAGCTAACGGTAAGCTGCGAATCTTGTTCCAGATAGGAGCGCTGGATTTGACATGCTGAAAGAAAGAAGTCAGAGAACTCATAATCAAGCCAGCAAAGTGAAGCTGGCTCGACCTCGGCTAACTCCAGCCGGGTTAGCACCTAAACCAACAACTTAGATGCGAGCATGCGTGACTCAGCCCCAGACATATGGGCGGAAGCCAACGGAACTGATCTTGACTCCTTCGGGTGGACTAGCGTGTGATGTTTAGCGTTGCACTGACGGAAAGTGTACGAAGAATTTCAAACCCTGACTTGATGCGATCGACTCAGGCAACAAAACCGAGGCTTAGTATCCCTGGTACATGCATATATATTGTGCTGTCCTTAACAATATATACAGTCGCGTGAAGACTGATTTGATCTACTTGCATGGTCTTGAGGGTTGCATTACGAGTATATCCTGACAGGACTTCAAAGTATCACAATGAGCGAAAAGAAGACGACACACTACAGTTAGCACAAGCTTGTTTGATTCCGTGGTCTAGCTTTGATAGCGAAATATGAATTAGCTACAAATCGCGGCTGTCACAGTTCAGACCGTGTAGGCCTCAGATACCTTCGTCGGCAGAGTCAATTACCATACGTAACTCAGCGATATTTAAATTGGTAGCGGTTGGCGACGAAAGAAAATTCTGAACAAAAGATCGAACGATTAGCGTCTTGATGTAGCTATCTTGCTCCTTGTTGACTCGACGCGGCTCTGCTTCCTCCTATTGTTAACTTCACTTGTGTTGTTTACTGATTTGCTGCTTGTCTACTGATCTTGATGGATTGTCTCCTCGTGATCGACTGATCCAGCTTCATGCGCTCGGCCTGCTTATATAGGCCGGCTTATCCCGTTAATTGTCGGCTTCTCTTTTTTCGTCTTTGCGCACGGCACTGTAGTAGGGTCCAAAGTCCACCGTCTTCTACCGTTATTCCATCTCTCCAAACTCTCTCTCTCTCCTCGTCCTCTCCAAACTCTCACCAGCTGCATTCTCCAATCTCTCTTCTCCCACAGTGCCGTTACTACGCGCATTCACAGCGTATCCAGCAACTGAAAGGCTTTGGTATTATAGGGCTTCGCTTTTATTTGTTCGGAGTTATTTAACTCCTCACAGGCAATATGTTTAATTAAGGAATGTGCTTCCCCATCTAAATAAGATTTCAGATAATAAAACTGTTGGCACTTCGAAAGCTTTTCTGTATTATCTACTGAGCTTAAGAACAAATCACTAATTGGCTCCAATCCTCGTATTTTCCAGAAAATGTGGGAATGCGAATTTTCTCAAACCTTAAATTAGCTGCTTCCCATGAGGTATGAATTCGTTTCAGAAGTTAGTTTTGTCGCTCAAATAGACGTTCCACTGTAATTGATAGCAAAATGTTTGACTGGTCCTGCAACTAAATCATCGAAGAGCTCCATTAAACGTTGAAAGTGTCTACTAGACGATCCAGCTTTAGTTGCAATGTTTCCACACTATCACATCTCTGCGAAAGGGGGGCTAAGGTTTTAAAAATTTTTGTTGGCTTTTTATTTTTTATCTTTTCTTCTGAATGTACAACATTTGAAGAATATTGCGTTAAAATTTTAGATTGATCCGAGTAAAACTTCCGAAGTTATGAGCAGTTGAACGTAGGTAAGTTAGCTCGTTTTATATTCGATTGTTGGGTGTCCAAAACTTTAAATCGCTCTCCTGAAAAGTTCCCATTTAAAAGTCGGTGCCCCTCATAACTTCAAAACTCCTGCATCGATCCTTTTGAAATTTTAAGCACTATTTTTGTACATATTTTACAAGGTAAGGCTGTCGAGTTTTCTTTTGTTCATAATTTTGATTTTACAATGACAAATTACCCGTTTAATTCCCAAAAAATTGTGTTTTTCACTTTAGTCTTCAAAATAATTAAAAAATAGCAATTTTTTTCACTTTAGTCTTCAAAATAATTAAAAAATAGCAATTTGTAGATCAATGATTACTCCGTCTCCACACTGATTTATTAAATTACTAGCCTTCTTACTGCATTGGTGATCAAGACCTTCAGTAGTAGTTTTCAAGCAGACGTCGATTTCACTGACTTTAGTAAAGCATTTGACTCTGTAAATCACTTACTTTTTATTTGGAAATTTGACTTGTTAGGCTTTCCAATTGATCTCCGTACATGGATCTCAAGTTACCTGAATGGCAGTTCACAAAGGGTCCTTTTTAAAAATTATATTTCTAAACTTCTCCGTGTTACATCCGGTGTCCCACAAGGGAGCCATTTGGGTCCGCCTCTTTTTACATTATTTATAACGATCTTCACTTCTCTAGTGCTTAGTTTTACTAAAAGGTGGTCAAAAGAATTCGATGATCCTTATGTTACTAAAACTTTATTTATTTCGCTAGTCCCTCCGATTCTGGCGTATGGGTCTTCCGTCTGGAGTCCACACTACGGAATACAAATTGGTCGAATTGAATCAGTACATATCTTTCTTCTTTTTGCTTCACTTTCTTATTCTAGTAGAATAATTTAATCTACTCTTGATTTACCATTTCCTAGCCAACTGACTAAAATACCCTTTTTCCTATAATCTCAAATCTTGACTCTCTGCCGCTCCTTAAACGATTAATACTGACCTCATTAACTGATCAATTTTTTTTTCCCGGACTTTTAACTATATTTTCTTCTCGTGCAGCGTGCTGTACGATACACGGCTGCGCCGTAAATCATTTTCAATAATTGACAATTAAATATTAAGATATATAATTTGTTTATAACAAATTACTGGTATTGGTACCAATTTATACTCTTTTGGGTGGATGATTTTATCAAGATGAGATTTTTTCTTGAGGCTTATTATTTAAAATTGGCTTTAATGGTCTCAAAGTTGCTTGGGGGATTTATGTTATCATGATGAAAGTTTGTCACTACATATAAATTTTCCGACCGAAGTTTAAAATTTCTGACCCACGCAATTAATCGGAAGCTTATGCTAACTCTACCCATCGGTTATGTAAATTAGCAGAAGGGCTAAAGGCGAAAGAGATGCCCCTATAATGTTAATAATTTGACATAGTGTACATGGTATATTAGTTGGTAGTGAGATGCTAAATCATTAAACTGTACAAACGGCTAGATTTTTTATTATTACATTCAAAGTCGTCAAACAAAAAGTAACAAAATATTTTTTAATGGTATAAGCAGGGCATTATTTTAAGTACTTTTTTCAAGTCGGTCTGAAATTTTTATCCAAATCTTCTTTTGGTTTCGAGAATATCTTTCCTTCATCTGTATCGTCATGTGTAGGTAGTTCCTTGTTCCAAGATTGTATTTCAGCAGTTCCGAAAATCTGATAAACAGCATAAGTCAATATTGAAATAATCGCGGATACTTCAAAAACACGTCGCCACTGATCAATTGAGTCCTAAAAATATATATATATTTTAAATGTAAAGTTTTAAAATTACTTATTTATATAAATATATATATATATGAGTATCTATATTTAAAGCGGTATAAAATCTACTAATCAACAGAAAAAATTCAATTGAAGTAAACCTATTTCGGAAAAAAAAAATCAATCGGTACTTATATCAAATCGGGTCTTTTTAAAATTAAGCTTTGGACCCGGTAGATATAAATAAATATGAGTATCAATCAACAGAAAAAATTAAATTGAAGTAAACCTATTTCGGAAAAAAAAATCAATCGGTACCTATATCAAAACGGGTGTTCCCCTTTAGAAACAAATATTTAAAGTTAATTTTAGGCTTTGCGCCTTGCGCCATCTCATTATTTTTGACGTAGATAGGGTCGACAATTCATCGACTTTATAGATAGATTCCATATTGTAAAAATTCCAAATGGAATTTGTTGGGCCACTATTGAATCTTGAGAAAAACATGAATGTAATTTTGAAGTATTAATCTGTCTTGAAGTGTATGGATCTAATTTGTTAACCTGAGCTGCGCTCTTAGTGGTAAAGCTTAAGTTCTCGCTCTCATGTAATTCACCACACTGGCCACGAAGGCTATTATCCAACGTAAGAATAAAGAGTTCAATTTTGGTACTGCGACAAGACGGTTGGATTTGCTTCATTAACTTAACTATCCCCCCGACTCCCTACAGTCTCATGTGGGTCAGGAAAACGCTCCTGCTCCATCAAACATTTTGGCGCCCAACGTGGGGCAGGCTAGTTAATTTAAAAAATTAAAAAATTAAAAAAAAAAAATCCTTAGTGTTCAAGTCAACCTGATCGCCCAAAGTTAATTCCGTACGCCGCGCATTGTTACGTTACGATTCGCGCTACTTCATACATATGTGATGCGCTGCTCAACGTTCACCTAACGACACACGCACACTTACATCCGTAGACACGGCAGTACAACCCCCATACACCATCGTTGGAAGGCGCGGGTTGCTCAGAAGATCTGGATTACGCTACGCTGTTCCCAGTCAGCTACGCCACTTATATTCTCGATTGTGGAGCCGAATCTCCATCGCCCCATCGACAATATCATTTCTAACCTGGAAAACCGTTTTGCTGGACTACGTAACGCCACAACGGTAAGGTTACGTCATCAGTGCCAACGCTGCCAGAGCGCTCACGCCAATCGCTGAGTCTCCTTTGGTCTCATTCCGCCGTCACTGTAGTCCTTTTGGTTTAAACCTGCAAGTCCACTGTACACGCGTACAGTCACCACGAGTGCCAATAGCAGTCACCGCGCAACGCATCAACCTGGAACTGGTTCATTGCGGAACCAAAGCGCTGCCAGATATTGAACTACACAAGTTGGCAGCATACGTCTATAACCACACACCAGAAACTTTAATTTATAATTACATACACTTTACAAGGGCTTATTGTAAGTAAATCACAATAACTATGTGTCCCACACCGCTAGACGTATTAAAACAAAAGCGATCTAACATAAGCAGGAGCATTTCCCGCATTGGAGCAGCAGTCGCCAAGACGGAGAAGGTTGAGAAACCAAATGCAGCGCTGACGCCAGCCGAACTCACGTGTCGACTAACTATTTTGGAGGCCTACTTCAAACAAATCATGGCCGTCCAAACCGAAATCGAGGCACTCGACTCAACCGAGGAACAGCTAAACTACCGGGCCGAGCTGGAAGATCTGTTCATCGCTACAAAGGTGACTATAAAGGATCAGCTTGGAGACGACGTGCACAACTCTACGCCGCTCGCCCAAGACACGCTACTCAGGCCTGGACCAACATCATCTCTTAAGCTACCAACTCTTGCGCTCCCGACCTTTGCTGGCGAGTACGCGGAATACAGAAATTTTATTACTACGTTCCTGCAAGTTGTTGATCAGCAGGAAGCGCTATCGCCGATCGAGAAGTTTAATCACCTCATAAACTGTCTCAGAGGCGCCGCCTTAGAAACCATCAAGGCGTTTCAAGTCACTCCAGAGAATTACAGCAAGGCCTTACTTCGCCTAAAGAGCAGGTACGATAACCCCACCATCGTATTCCTGGACAACATAGCGTCACCGAAAATAGTGTACAGTTGCGCAGCCTGGTTGACAACGCATCAGCGTTGTTTAACTCGTTGCGATCTTTAGGATCCGAAGCGCAGATAGCTCAAACGATGTTGATTGCTATTGTCATGGAAAAGGTAGATAAGAGAACCCGGCAGCTCTGGAACGAATCTCTCACGTTCGCAGCACTACCCTCTTGGAATGCCTGCCTCTCCTTGATTGAGCGGCACTGCCAACATTTGGAGTCCTCAATACATCACATCGGCAATCCGAATACGGCTCAAAATACATCCGGCAGAACGCGACAACCGCAAGCTCCACGCATGGGCCACAGCTTTACGTGCTCCACGCAAGCGTGTCCTATATGCTCTGGCAGGGATCATCGGATTTTTAGATGTTCGCGACTGCCAAACATGTCGCCTGCCCAACGCCTAGAAGCTGTCCGGACAAAATCGCTGTGCACAAACTGCCTTGGAAAGGCTCATCATCCGTCAAATTGTCCATCTTCAAATAGGTGCAGAATATGTTCACGGCTGCATCACACTATGCTTCACTTCGATCCGTCAGGACAGGAATCCAGGAGTCCTAGGCGGCCAAGTCCGACTAATGCGCCACCTCAGCACCATGTCGCTGAGGCCGTCGCTCACGCACACGTGGATACCCACCACGACCAAATCATTCTGGCTACAGCCATAATACTAGTGCAGGATGCTGTGGGGAACTACGTACCAGGACGTGCATTACTGGACTCTTGCTCCCAAGTTAACTTCATGTCCGAAGACTTCGCTCAACAACTTCGTTTGCCCCGAAGCAAGGGACATATCGACATTCGAAGCATTGGCGATTCTTTCACCCGCATCAAGCATCGCATTTCGACCGTTGTAAAGTCACGATTCGGTGAAGCAGAGTTACCCGTCGAATGCTGTATAACCTCGAGAATCGCCTATCAACCCGATGCAGAAATCGACATTTCATCATGGAGCCTCCCAGACAACGCTCCACTGGCTGATGAGAGATTTTATCAGTCTCGCCATATCGACCTTCTTCTTGGCACAGAAACGTTCTTCACCGCTTTGTTTATTGGCCAAATCAAGTTGGGTCCCCATCTTCCCATGTTGCAAAAGACGATCTTTGGATGGGTAGTATCAGGGCGTACCGGCAATCAAGGCCATGCCGCCCAAGCCCATAGTTTCCTTTCATCAGAGGATTCAATAAACCTGAACCTGGAGCGCTTATGGCGTATAGAGGAAGTTTCTACTACGCCATTAACACTTACTCCACCGCAAGCTAAATGCGAATCGATCTTCCAAAAATCTGTCTGTCAAGTAGCGGATGGAAGACTGATGGTTCAACTGCCCTTCAAGGATGACCCTAATCTGTTGGGGAGGTCTCTTGAAACAGCACGGCTAAGATTTGCATCGTTGGAACGTCGCTTAAGCCGAAACGCGAATTTGCGAGCCGATTACACGAATTTTATGGAAGAATATGAGCGCTTGGGTCACATGGAATTAGTAACCAGCCCACTCCTCAACGAACCCCACTACTACATACCACACCACTGCGTGTTTAAACTCAACAGCACGTCAACTAAACTAAGGGTAGTCTTCGACGCCTCGTGCCCAACAAGCACCTTCAAGTCCTTAAACGACATCCTTCTAGTTGGACCCACGATTCAACCAGACTTGTTTAAAATCTTATTAAAGTTCCGGACTCATCGTTATGTACTAACTGCTGGCGTCGTCAAGATGTACCGGCAGGTATTAATTGATCCATCGCATCGTAAATTTCAGTACATCTTATGGAGAAGCTCCAACGACCAGGAGATTCGCACATACCAGCTGAACACCGTTACTTACGACACCGCATCAGCGCCGTATCTAGCAATTCGCAGCCTGTCTCACCTCGCCAATCAACATGCAAGTTCACATAAAATTGGAGCAGAAGCCATAAAATCGTGTTTTTATGTGGATGACTTTCTCGGTGGAGCAAATAAGCTAGATCAATTGAACCAGATTCAAACCGAAGTCATCGCTATCCTCACGGCCGGCAAGATGGAACTAGCAAAATGGCACTCCAACTATCAGGATTTCGTCAATGATACAACGGTCAAGGAGCTAAATCTCGACGACTACGCTACGACAAGCACATTGGGACTGAAGTGGGACCAACGAGAAGACATCTTCAAATTCTCATTCAACTGCAGCACAGCTCCGGAAAGTATCACAAAGCGAACCATTCTCTCGGTGGCCTCATCCCTCTTCGATCCGCTGGGACTTGTCTCGCCAGTTATTATGGTGGCAAAAATCCTTCTACAGGAAATTTGGCTTCTTAGATTGCAGTGGGATGAATCAGTGCCAATGACACTCCAACAAGCGTGGCTATCGTTCGTGTCGTCGCTACAGCATTTGGACTCTCTGCTCATCCCACGTTTCTGCCTGCAGCCCCATTCAGATGAGCTCCAACTTCACGGCTTCAGCGATGCTTCAATAAGAGGGTATGGATGTTGCATCTACGCAAAAACAAGGCGTCCCGATGGCCACGTCGAAGTTCATCTAATCGTCTCAAAGTCGCGTGTGGCACCAACGAAGAAGAAGACGCTGCCGCAGCTCGAGCTCTGTGGAGCGCATCTTCTAGCACGACTCTACAACCAGATAAAGGCAGCCTTTCTACAACACACGCCCGAGACGTTTCTGTGGACAGATTCACAGCTGGTGTTGCATTGGATTCGACAACATTCTGCGACACTTTCTACGTTTGTCGGCAACCGGATATCCGATATCCAAGAATTCACTCCAGACTGTCACTGGAGGTTCGTTCCGACACGGCACAACCCAGCTGACATGATCTCCAGAGGATGCAACCTTTCAGAACTCACCAACTCAATATGGTTCCACGGACCTACATTTCTATCAAATCTGCCG